GCCCATCGATCCAGCCTGTCCAGATCCATGTACAGTCTGCTTCCATGTGCAGTATGATCTCTCTAACTAACAGCAAGTACATATTAATAAAGAGGATGTTGTGATAAAGCTGTCTTGTCTGTACAATTTTACTGATTTTTATTGTTTTCACAGATTCTCAAAGTACTTCATACAGTACTTGATGAACTTTATTATATTGAATTACTTAATCAAGAAGCATGGTTCATGGCTCAAGTGTGTGTGTTCGTGCATCCGTACACATGTGTGTGTTCACCTCTACCCCAGAAACAATTGTGAGCTTCACGGGTGAGGAGTTCACCAAAGTCAGTGGCCTTACATGGATGAACTTTTCTCATTCTCATGAACTTGTTACAGGGCTACAGCCAATCTTGCTGATACTGACAATTCAGTAAACATCACTACCTCTCTCAAGAATGTAATAAACAAAGAAGGTTTGAGTGTGTGCTTTGCAGGTCTGTGAGATCATTCCACAAGCAGACTTCTGCATTTCTAAAACTCACCATCCATCCATCTAGTTTCCACCCACTAAATCACCGTCTCGCTAGGGAAGTAGAATGAACTATTGGACTAGACCTGAAATCTGCTCTTGACTCTGTTGTTGGCTTGCAGAGTGACCCTCAGCAAGTCGTACGCCATGACTTTAAATTTCTGCAAGTGGAGAACAACAAGGTGTGACTGTCCTCCTTTGCAACACATTTTGAAGTCTTAAGGGGAAGTAGAGTATAAAAGCTAGGTGCTAGATACTGTGGATATTCACCACTGCATTCTTTATTTAAGGCAGAAAAACAGGAGAGGCAAAGAATCTGTGATCCGATAAGTGATCTTTTCCCCTTCTGTCCACAGAAACATGAATTCTCACTCATAAAATCTTGAAAATAAATGTGCAAAGAATAATTTTTTTTTTTTTTTTTATTAGTAACATTTGAACCAGCTGCCCTCTCTACCCTTTTCCCCCAAGATTTCTGGAAAATTTCTGTGTCTTCAAGCTTGCCTTTTTAGGATTCTAAAATAGACATTTGCTTTTCCCCTTTCCTCCCATCCTTTTCACCTTTCCCCTTTCCTTTTTCTTTTCTTTTTTAAATAAATGTGACATTAGGCATGCCAACACAATTTCTGTGAGCAGCTGCAAGCTGCCTCCTCCACCTGTCTTCCCACTCCCTAGAGCATGAGATGGTTCAGGTCACCAAAGTATTTAGACCATTTAGTTTGTGACTTTTAGCACTAACAAAATATGACTCAGGCAATGGATACACAGCTTCACTGGCTGGGTTGGGGTTTTTTGGGTTTGTTTTTGGTTTTGTTTTGTATTTTTTTAATTGTGTACATATGTCTGTCATTATCTAGCTTCCCTTCTTCAGCTTCTGAAAGTACTCCTTATTTGTCAATTGGATCTTTTTTCACGGGGCTTTGCATCTAACAGTAGTGCTTATCCTGTCAGTTAAATTCTTGGCTCCAGCAGAATAGAAATCATATGCTTTTAATCATGTCTAACATTAGCTGTAAAGCTAACTTAGGTGAGCACAGACTTCTAAAGAGCTTATCTATGTAAGCTTATGATGTAGTGAACACCAGTTTTCAGCTGCAAGATATTAAAGATATTTTGAAACATAAGTGTACAATGTCAGAACTATGATGTACTGTTGTCTTGGTACTGTTTAAGTACTAATTTTGGGGGCAACTGGCTTGCAATTTAAGTGTGTTCAACATTAAATATAAGATAAATGAACTAAGCAAATTAGGGTTTTGGTATGTTTGAGATAAGATTGTCAATTTTAACATATGCTGAATTTACATGTAAACTGGCTCCATGTGTGGTTGGTATCACTGTGATATCTATATTTTGGTTCTGTCATGACTGGTTTGTCATTTGTTTTTGTGCAGGAAATCTTGTTGGATAATTCTGTGTTGGTAGGTCCCTGTGCCTTGTTAATCCTAAAATTTTGCAGTTTGCAATGGTGTTTTTTATTTCATCTTTCATCTTTTCCTTTTAATCATTTTAATGTAATTTCTTTTAGCATGTCAAGTGACATTTGATTGTCATCCTAACCAGACCCTTCCTAACTTTCTGCAGATGGCAGACATACATGTCATTTGTGTGCTTAGTGAGGCATAGTTTTGTTTTTAACGTGTTAAGCGCAGAAAGGGAACTGTTTGTTCATTTAAGTTTGTATGTGATGCTTGCATTTTGTGTCTGTTTAGTCCTGTCCCCTGCTTAGAATGCAGGAGAATGAGAGAAATGAAAAATGTGCATCTTGCATTATTCAGTAGCCTGAATTGGATCCTCTGTTTTTTCCCCTATTAAAAATGAGCACGGAATTTATGCATGTCCAACTTGAAGTAGAATGTGTAGCCTGCTTGCATAAATGTTGCATTAAAAGCCTCACTTGTTGTTTTTAAAGTTTCAATTAAAGTATCTTGCAGGCATACTTACTGAGTCAGGGTTCGTTTCTTTTAGAAGAATTATGCAGAGAATGTATCTTTGGGTGTACTAAATATGTACTTCTGAGTATTGTAGATTCATGTGCATGCATACAAATTCAAAGACGAAGCTCAGTTGTGAATGTAACAAAGCTGAAATTCTGGATCACTTACTCTTTTTGTCCTTAAATTGTTCTTTTTAGCTGTATGTTAACTAATAATATATATTAGTCGTTTTGACTAACGTATATTGATCTGTTGCTGACAGATGAGGAGCATGACTTTAGTGCAAGGTTTTCCCTGCAGCAGACACATAGCTCTGTCTATTTTAAGGATGGTGACAGCTGAGGGTACACAATTGCTTAGTTGTAGAGAATAACTTTTTTAAATTAAGCTTAGGTAATCATCAAAAGAAGCTGCTTAAATATTGGTGTAGCCATCTTGCCTGGCCACATAGCTGGTTCACTGTATCTTTGGGATCCCCTTCAGAACATTCTTAATATTGAAAGCAAGAAAATAAAAATCAGAAAGCTCCACTCTAATAAAAAAACTTTGAGGCTATGTCTTGGGTTTTTTAAGTGTTTTTCCTTGTTCCTGTAATAATGAATCTGTTGTCCTGTATTTTTCAGTGTAAAAAACAAACACTGGCCTGTTGGTATTAAAATATGGTGATGCTAGAAACTTCTTTTGCTAGAAACTGCTCAGGAGAGCTGACTTGTCTCAGTGTGTTACATTCACCAGTAACTCTCACCCTTCCTCTCACCTTCTCTAAAACATAATTTAATGTAATCTGAGTATATAATATTTTTTGCGATGAAATTGCAGCAGTGTTCTCTTTGCCCTTTGTTATAAACTTCCTTTCATGCATGGAGTTCAGATTTACTAGAGCCTGATTGACTGTCTCACCCTTTGTTACACTGGCATTTCTCTACTTACATCTGAGGATGATTTGAGTAATTTTCTCTTGCATTGAATTTTCAAGCCCATTATATATACCTTGTAGTCAAAGAATAAAGTTAATTTTCATTGAAACCACGATTCAGCTGTCATTGAAGTTAATAGGGAACTTTCTACTGATAATGGTGGGAGTTGGATCCAGCCCCAAAGCAGTTTTATAAGTTACCTTTGGGGAGAAAATGTTGAAAGTAATGATACATTAAAATTGATTACAGGAGTTGCAAAAACTTTCATTTGGGATTTAAAAAAAAAAAAAGGCTGAGCAAAAATAGCATCAATTAATCAATTACAGGCTTACTGACTTCACAGATTTGTCATAACTGCAATTGTTCAGAAAATACCAGCCTTTTTGAGGTATTGCCTCATTTGAGGTTTGTTGGCCATCTTACTGTTTCTTCTTGCATGTTTCAGGTGAATCTCTGTAGCTCATACTTATTATTGAGACGTGCAGTGGTAGCATGCTTACATCAGCTTGTGCAAAGAGAAGCTGCTGAGGTATCAGAATATGCTGTTGCATTAGTTAAAGAGAGCAGAGAAGATTTCACTCCAGGTAACGTATTGAAGTTTTGAGATCAAAGAGCTTGACACATTGCTAGTGAATTTGAAATATGCTCTGCTATGGGTATGAAAACTTTGTTATGTTCTTGAAATCTTTAACTCAAATAGGTTTTCTGCTTCACATCACTATATAGTACCATATTACGGAAGCATCCAAACCCTTTTTTAGTGATAAAATAAAGATACTATTGCTTTTCATATACTGTAGATAGTAAGGGTCATTAAATAAGAAAACGGAAGTGGAGTTCCAGAGAAACCTAAGCCTATCTAGCCAGTAGCTGTTGTAGTAACTGCCTCATAGTCCTGCATTTTACATGTATATTCATAATTTAATTTTCCCACATAAATCTCTTCTTAAACTAAAAATCTGTCATTGAGGGAAGAGGTAAAAAACCTGTTGAAGAAAGTTTCTGTTGACCTCTTTGGAGAACTAGTTAAGTAATGATCAGCTGGGGTCCGTAGAATTTTTAGCTTCCTAGAGGTTTGGGGGTTTTGCTGAAAGGCCTGAGAGTGATCACTAGTTCATCGTCATGTGCCTTCCTGTGAGGTGATGGTGGTCATAAATGATTTCACTTTGGATTTCAATTCAGGCTCATTTGGGAAATTTTCAGAAAAGATAGTCTCTAGCCATTTTGTAAACTGACTGATTTTTAAAATTGGTAATATTGGGCAAATAAAAGTTGTCATATTCATTTAACAAATCATTTCCATGTGGCTGGTTTTGAGCTTTGTTGGCAAATAATTTTAACTTCCCTTGTTTTAGAATTACCTTATGAGTCAGTGTGAAGAATCAGATGGCCAGAGATTATTTTTTTCAGGAGCTTAGATGCTATGGTGATGGTAATGCTGTGAAATTCAGAGTAGGAGATTTTTTTTTTTTTTTCACTGGGGTAACTTTCTTCCTGTTGTTAGCATATTTCTGTAGAAGTTCAAAGTTTGTTTTGTACTTGGATGATTTAGATAAGGTATTAAAGCAATCAATACTATTATTTCAAAAGTATTTCAGATAGTTGTTCACAAGATACTCTGTGTGCAACCTTCAGTGGGGTTTCTGTGGTCATTATTGCAGTTTTGTGAGGTACAGCATTCATCTCACAGACTTTGTTCTTAGCAGATGTTAACATCAGAGAAATAGGCCTGGAGGGGGCATTGCTGGGCTTGCTGGACAAAGAATTGGATCAAAGATTGTGCCAAGATATCAAAGAGACACTGACTCATATGCTTACTTCAATGGCAGTTGAAAAGCTCTCTTTTTGGCTGAAGCTTTGTAAAGATGTTCTTGCTGCCTCAGCTGGTAAGTCCTAATCCACTGTAGTTGAGAACACAATGAAAATAAGGCCTGCAGCAGTACAGCATGTCACTGAGGGAAAGTATTCTTGTTTCTTGAATGTTTGACATTTATGAAGTGTATCATCGTCCTTCTTATTGAAACACTGGACCCTTTAACTTAGTTCTTTCAGAAGGAATACGACTTTCTCCCTTCTGATGGCCTTTTCCTTATTGAATAAATTTTTGTAAACATTTTAGTATGTCTTGCGTATTCATATTCTTGTTGATTTGTAGTCCTAATGTTAACTTATTTCCATATCAGAAATGAAAATGCAGAATACGTTTGAGCTTGTGGGTACTGTGCAATTACCTGCAAGAAAAATATTCAAACTCTCTCTCCTATTAACAATAAGAATGGTGCAGACCTAGTATATCATCATGAAAGTCCTAAGCAGATAAAATTAATTACTGTGCTGAATATCATAGGGGGATAAAATTCTTTTCTTTTAACCCACAGTGCAGGAGGAAAACTTCTTGGATTTAGAATTTTTGATTTGGAAAGGTACTAGCTTCTAATGTGTCACACTTATTTTAAGAGGGTTTTTTTTCCTTTCACTTCTTTCACTGCAGTTCTTAATTTACTTTCATGGTATTGATCTTGTCTTCCAGCAAGTAATATCAACCAAATGCAGACGGTTTTGTTAGATTTTCTTTTTAATTCTAGCAGTTACTTTAAGACACCAAGGTAGAAGGGAGTCATAGTGAGTTGGAGGCTAGAGATGGACTTTGAAGAGATTTCCTTATGAGTCCTCCTGCAGTTTTCAGTTACAGTAAGAAAGAATATTACATTTGTTCTTTTTTCCCCTCCCTGTGTCCTACATACAGATTTTAACACAGTAGCTTCAGTAGATACCACTCAAGAAGAGGAAGCTGCTAAAGTGGATGATGCATCTGTATTAACATCTGACAGCGATGAAAGGTTCCATCCTTTCAGTAATCCACGATGGTCCACCAGAGTTTTTGCTGCAGAGTGTGTTTGTAAAATTATAAACCAGTGTGAAAATGCAGACAGTGCACATTTTGATGTAACTTTGGCTCAGGAAAGAAAACAACGTGATTCAAGAGGTATGTGTTAAGTGCTGAAAGAATTTCACAGAATGCACAGTATGCCTCAAATAAATGGTAGCTGTTTGCATCTTAATGAAATTCATCATAAATTTGTTGTTTGTAATTGCTGAAACCTTTAATTACTCTGATTAGAAGCCTATATTTACTAAGATGTAGAGCAATTTTTATTTGCCAAAATATTGGCATATCGCTGCAGCTTTTACACTCACTTTCCTGGTTATAGTACAATGGCATACGCGTAGGAAGCCATTGTTTCTGCATAAGCACTGGCAATCAGAAGTGATAGCTGGCAACAGCCTACAACATCACAGTTTGGTATCTGGGTGTATGACTAAAAAACTCCACATTTTTTTCTTTCTATAGTTTGCATAATTACCAGTAGATACACAGTAGCTCTCTATGTTTCTCTGGAGGTGTTTTCCTCAAAACTCTTTATTAGAAAATCTGCCTCATACATAAAGATATTTATGCTTTATCCTAAGTACCTTTTTTTTTTCACATTCAAATGGAAAGGAGCCTAGATCAGCTAACATAAGACGTCCAAGTAGGATTGTGTATGTGTAAATTGCCTTAAGTGAATCCTTGATATGTGGTACCGTAAAATGTAAAATAAACATTTTGAAAATGTTGGGAGAAGTCTTATAAAATATATTATGTCTAAATTGAAATGTAGTAAAACTATCTTTTTTTTTAATTTCTCTTTTCTCTTCAGATGACTTTTTGGTATTGCATTTAGCTGACTTGATCCGTATGGCTTTTATGGCTGCAACAGATCACAGTGATCAACTTCGTCTTTCTGGGCTTCAAACATTGCAAATTGTTGTTCGGAAGTTTGCAGCTGTTCCAGAACCAGAGTTTCCAGGTCATGTAATTCTGGAGCAATATCAAGCCAATGTAAGCACCATTGCTAATAACTTAGAAAAGTTTAGAGTTACAGTTGATCACTAAAAGAAATTTGCTTTTTGCTGTGCTTAGTGCTAGAGTTGGGTTTCAGTTAGTTTGTTACTGAAACTATTATTAATTTCTTTTGACTTGACTTCCTTAGAAAGCATCTTTTCAGTTGGCACATAATGTTTTAGCCCCAAAGTTTTTCAAGTTTCAGAATTTTTCCCTCTTACCTATTTGAATACAGCAAAAATAAAATAGAACATTGGGGTTTGGTTTTTTTTTGAAAGCATTTGTTTCTAAGTGTGGAAGTATTACAAGAAAAATTAGGAACAACTATCATTTAAAACTGTGCTTAAAAGTAAGTAGCCTTTGCACACCAGAGATCACACTAGGAGATCTTGGTCAATAAGTAAGCTAGAGAAGGTAAAAGTACGGATTCTACTCACAAGGTCTATTTCAGTTAAGTCTTGGTTGAGACTTACAGAAAAGATGTCCTGATCATTTTGCATTCCACGCTGCACTTACATTAAATATGACAGGCAGCTGTGTTAAGCCGCATCTGCCTCCCATTCTTCCATTTCTAGCAGGCATTGAATAAGTCAGATTACTTTCTCTCATAGAAATGGAGAGATCCTGACACTGAAGATATCCCAACCCACTTTGATCTTGCTTTTGCTATTAGACTTCTATTCTACTGGCACTTCTTTGTGGGAAAGGAGAATTGCCTTGATCTAGTCTGGAACTATCAAAGGAAAAAAAATACACCATCTGTCCTTGCTGTCCAAAACCATCAAGCAGGTCAAAAGTACAGCTAATAATTCTCCTTTTAACCTTCGTTACCCTTAAAGTGTTTCTGCTAATACTATGCATAGATCTTCTCATCAACTATTTCATAGAAGTTGAAGAGATGGGAAGCAGTTAAATATCTAATCTTTTTCTTATCAATTTTTTTTCCGTAACAATAACCGGAAATAGATGGATATAGATTTTTCTGGATTTACGTAATAGTTTCCTGAAATCTTGTTCAGAAGTTCCTTAAATGAAATCTGAGCTCTAGCAGGTCTTAAGAAACTGTCATTAATAGTCATTAAAAGCAAGTACTTTTCACTTATTTTCACAAACTTGTATTTGTAGCACTTGTACTACACTTGGTACTTTCATCCCAAAGAGCATCAGACTTAAATCTGAGTTTTCAGATATCAGCTAAAGCAGCAAGGGAAATTTTCATTAGCGTTTAGTGAAATAGCTTTCAACAGTGAGAGTAGGTAAAATCTCTGCAACCTAGTAAGTATACATTTGTGTGTTCTTTGTTAGGTGAATGGGGTTTGTGCTTTCCCCTTCTTTCACTTTGCAGAGTTGACCAACTTCAGCTGTTTGTTTCCTTAAATTTGTGTTCTTTCTGAGTAGGGAAATGTCACTCATTAGGTGTCTTGCAAGTCTCATGATTTGGAACATTGTTTTTTCTTTTGAGGGCTACTCATCAAGTCAAGAGTTCAGGTAGGAGGGGGTTGCTGTTTCAGTTTTAGACTGTGCAAAAAATAGAATCAATTTTGAAGACCACTCTCAAAGAGAACCATGTCTTCAGTGTAAGCAAAACAAAACAATAGAAGTAAGACTGCAACTGTCTCTCTGCTCTTTAACCTCACTGAAACAGTCTGTGGGAAAATGAAAAGGAAACTATATTATACTTTATAAAGGAAAACTGCAACAAAGCCTGCTTATGAAAAGTAATTATTTAGTTAATTGTTCACTATGTATTAAATGTTATATAACTTCTCTTTAGGTTGGAGCAGCGCTTAGGCCTGCCTTTGCTCCTGAAACTCCTCCTGATGTCACAGCAAAAGCATGTCAGGCAAGTGTTGAAAGTCAGAAGTAATAGACCCTCTGAAATGTTCTTTTTGCTTGATATGCCGCACGAGAAAAAGGAAATAAATCATCTAGCCTCAAATCCTCAATGCACACAGAATAACATCACCCATGTTACCTCTATATTCTAACAACTCAAAGATTTTATGCACTTTAAAATCTTTGGAGAAACTTTGTAGCAGTTGATAATTTGGCTGTTATTTATGACATCCCTCTAGTGTTTCTGGCTTTCATTACTTATGCATACTAAACTGTAATGCCAGTTAACATTGATTATTATCCAAGAGTGACTGTATCTCAGTAGAAATTAAATCTGGGTTTTGTAATTTTACAGATAGAAAAAAGAGTATCCAATGGTGTTTGGCTCTTGTTTCTCATTCTTTCTCTTTTATAACACTAGGTATGCAGTGCCTGGATAGCAAGTGGTGTAGTAAGTGATCTTAATGACCTTCGAAGGGTTCACCAGTTGCTTGTATCCTCTTTGGTCAAAGTGCAGGCTGGGAAAGAAGCGCAAAATCAACAATATAATGAAAGCACCTCAACTATGGAGATACTGGCTGTGCTTAAGGCTTGGGCAGAGGTTAGTGTAACAGCTCTGTAATGATAGTCTTGGTAGGTGAGTTAGAACCTTTCAGACAGAATGGTTTCAGGAATTTCTTACATGCTTCATTAAATAGAAGTTGCTGGTCCTTTGCTTTGCTTTGCTTTGATACCTCTAAACAGTACATGAACTTTGTAAACTTGACAAAAACACTGCTAGTTAAACTGTTTGTATTATACTATACATTAAGAAATACGTCTAGTACTTAAGAAATACTGATTTCTTAACATGTTCCAATATTTCAATATTCATTTTAAATTGGCATGGTATAAATGGTGGTGATGGTCCACTGAACATACCATTTTAGATAGGTGTCATTTTTCTTGTTTATTGGCATTTCATTTCTTACATGTAGTTCTTGTAAGTTAACAGCATCAGTTCAGTACTGCATTGGCTAACTGCCTTAAAGTCAGCTCACGTGAGTGGCTGTTTTAATAAATGTAAATGCAAGGTTAGATACTTAAAAATAAAAAATGTGAACAGTGTACATAATCTCTAGAAGATGTGTCTTAGAAAGCACTGATAATGACCTTGGATGCTAATGGTTGATAACCAGCTAAATATGGGCATGTTATGTAGCTAGTATGATATTTCTGTGTATAACCAGGGAGCTATTTTGAAGCAGAAAGCAAGCAATAGATAGCTTATATGTGAATATCTGTAGAAAAACATGTCAATCTCTGGTGTCCATACTTGAGAAAGGATATTGGCAAAATAGGAAAGCTGTTGGAGAAAAGCTAGTAAGTGGGAATAAAAATCTTGAAAACATGCTTACACTGAGAGATTTAAGTAGATCAGTCGATTTAATCTATTCAGGAAAAGAGAAGGTGCTACGATCAATTTAAAATTATTATATGGAGAAAAGGTTTTTAATGGCATATAACAATAACCTGTCACTGGGCAGAAGCTGAGACAAAATTCGGACTAGATGTGAGGCTCAACTGTAAGAAGTGTGAAGATCTGTAGATTGTTCCAGTCTATAATTAAGATCTCTAGAAGTCTTGAAAGCAAACTCTGCATAACTTTCTACTGGATCTCAGATATGAGAAACTGACAAAATAAACTGGGGATAAGCTTTTGTGACCTGTAACTTAGAAATATTTCACTTAAGCCCTAGGCAGTTCCTTCTCGCTTAGGATCTTACCTATTTCTTTTTTCCAGAATTTGAAGGAACTTCCCCATCCTTTTGCTGGGTACTTAGTTGCTGACCTGCGTCAACCTACTACAACTAGTAAACTTGAAAAAGATACAGGAATCATAATTGCAGGAGATGGATACTCACAAAAGCTAACTTTAGATTAGTTGAACTGATCTCCTATGTGTCCTCTATAGTTGAGGAGAAGAGGTTCCCTCCAGGGGCATTTTGAAGAGACTAAAGAGGGCTGCTGGTCTGAAACATTCTCAGGTGTATCTTTTTCGATAACTAGAGAGGCATCTAGGGAAATTAACCTTCTCACATTGAAGTTAACCTATTGATGGTAACACCTGAAGTTTGCAAATGATGCAGGACTGTACTCTTCGTTCTTTACTGCTAACACAGAGTAATACACAGTTTTGAGAAGTTAATTGGAAGTGCAATATGTCATTTCAGTTAAAAGAAGATTTAAGAATGATCTGACTGTAGTTTCAGGATCATGATTATAGGTACATTATTTGATAAGTTCTTCAGTCTTGCAACTGTAACTATAACAGGGTTTGACATTTGGAAGCTGAAGCTGAAGAAGTAATATATTAATTTTTAAGAGCAGGGAAGTTAACTGCAGCTATTTTTAGGAAATTTAGTAGGTTTCTCTTCATTGGGACTCTTGCATGAAGATTAGCTGGGGGAGTGGATTCAGAAGATTTAGAAAATAAGTGCTTGTACTGGACTTGAAGCAGGAATAGATTCTAGGAAACCTCATGCCTATTCAACAGGCAGTCGTGCTAATGATCACAGTAGTTTTCCAAGTGTTAATGTTTGTAAATCTCTCTCCAAATATATAAACAGGTTTACATAGTTGCAGTTGAAAAGCAGAAAAATCAAAGTGATGCACATAATCACTGTTTAAAAATTGCAAACTCTGCAGAAGAAAGCTACAGGGATGTAACATCTTCAGCCACTGATCTTCTGGACTTAGTACAGGCAGATCTTGGAACATTAAGCAAGCTCTGGCTTGCTGCGCTTCAGGATTTTGCTCTCTTAACTTTGCCTTCAGAATATGCATCACAACTACCTGCTGAAGGTGAGAAGGCATATCACTTGTATTTTCATAGGACACTTGTAAGTGCACATCATTAATGTCCTAGCTGACTTGTGTTAAGATCACAGTAAGATTAAATTGTGTGGAGAATACGCATACTTGTGTACCTATCTAAAGATAAAGACTGCTTTTGAGAACAGAGGTTTCACTGGTGTGAAAATTAGTTTGTTCGATGTTCTTGTTTATTGGGTAATTTTATTGTTGAAAGAATAAAAAGGTAATTATATTGGATTCTAGCCAAATAAATCTAAATGAAGTACCCTTATTAGCCTGAATTTTAATATTGAACATTTTAAAAAAAGTCATACATAAAATACAATAAATATAATTTCAATAAAAAGAAGAATCCCCTTTTATAAGAATGAGAAAATATGGTAGTTGAAAATAAATGACACCCTTAAAACTGTAACTTCTGTTCTTGTAGGTGGTACATTTTATACAGCAGAGACAACTGAAAATGCCAGACCTCATTACTACAATTCCTGGGCACTGATACTTTATGCTACAGCATTATGGCTTACTAGCACAGGTTTCATTGTTGCTGATCCAGACGAAGGAGTTAATAATCTCTCTAGACCTGTCACCCCAACTACAATGTGTCAAGATTCTTCTACCAGGCCCTTGGTGAAATCTCCTGAGGATATGAATACTGACAGATTTCATCTTATCTTGGGTTAGTGAGTGTATATCTGCTAGATGCTGTAACCCAAAATGTCATTTTTAATAGATAAAACTGTTATCAAACAAGTATTTAATTATTCGTATTTAACTGCTTTGTTGAATATTGCGTTTCTTAAAAAAATACATAGAAGAATTTTAAGTCCGAGTGAGAAAATTGTAGAGTGTTTTCCCAAATGTGGTAGAAAAAACACTCAGTGTGAGTTAAACAAGTCCTGAACAAGTGCTTACTGCTCTGCTCCTAAACATGCAAGTTCCAGGGTGGATTTTATTGTGGTTGTAGCACTACAATTACAGAGTGTACAGTTTAGCATCACTGAAGTACAGTTTTACATCACAGAATAGTGTGTAGGTTGGAAGGGACTTGTGGAGGTCGTCTTGTCCACCACCCCCTGCTCAAGCAGGGCCACCTAAAGCCAGTTGCCCAGGACTATGTCCAGACGGCTTTTGAGTATCTCCATGGATGGAGACTCCACAACTTCTGTGGGCAACCTATGCCAGTGTTCAGTCACCCTCACAGTAAAAAAGTGTCTCCTTAAGTTCACATAAAGCTCTGTTTAAGCCTCCACTACTGCAGAGGTTAATCAGGCAGTTGAAGTCAGTCCCAGTTCTCTGAAGTTACACAATTAGGCATTTCTGGTTGTATTTTTTTTCTTTGTTCTCTCTTTTGTATGCTTTTGTAATCCCTTTCTGGAATGGGTTTGTATGACCCAGATGCATATGGCTTCTTTTGAATGCCAGTTTTTCTGCACAGAGCCAGCTTCCTTTTAAACTCTTTCGGTCCTTCAGTTAAAAGTGGAATCTCTGATACAAAAGCTGCTCATTTCCCCTGCTTCCTATACTGCTGGATTAGTGCTTCAAATTTAATATACTTTACTATGGACATCTGGCTTGTTTATTCTGCTTCTGAATGTATTCCACTTGTACATTTTCATTTCCTACAGAGAAACTCAAAGAACTTTAAAACACAGGGACTTTTCTGTTGCACAGCTGTTCTTTAGTGTACATTGATCAGTTTCCCCGGTCATCACACATTTTGGAATTGCAGCAGTACAACTGGGATGAGAAGATGGATCACAGCATATATGAAGTTTATCTCCAGTGTCATAAAATGTCATCTGAAGAGTCCTGAAAGCTGAGAAAAAAGTGATTGTTTTTATCTGCTCTAGGATTTGCAAGCTTAGGCTTTATGTAATTTACTTACTGCTAGTGATCCAATTGTGGTAGCTGCGATCTTTAGCAGTTTTGTAAAATGGGAAGATAAAGCCTCAGCCTTTGAGTTTGTGAACTTTTATTACTTTCTCCATTATTTCCTTCTGTTACATAAATCAATGTGATTAGGCAAATATTCTGCTATATACTCGTTATGAATTGTCTGCCTATTCATTGGACTGAGGGTTCAGTGTTTTACTCAGAAATTGCTCTATTTTTAAAATTTATTTATGTTAATAGCCAGTTATAATCATGACTTACACTGTCTAGAAGCTGAAGTTCTTTCATTGTTTTGAGGGAAATAGAGTTCTTGCCCCAAGATATTTGCAACAGGAGATGAATTCACTTAATATAAAATGCAAATACTATTTCTATGTCTGCTCAACCTACTGTTAGGTTACTTAGTAATTGACAAAATTACTTCTTAAAATTTCAAGCATATACGGTTTTTTTCTTCTGATACTTACAGGAATTAGTGTGGAATTTCTCTGCTCTCCTCGATCAGATGCGGCAATGGAGAACATTCTTGCCTGCTTACGTGCCCTACAGGCTATCTTTGATGTTCCATGGCCAAGGTCTAAAATAGGTGGTGATCAGGTAATGTCTTAATGATCAAAAGCCTCCCAGAATTAAGACATAATTTTAGTTTGAACAGTATCTCTACTCTGTATTGTATATCTAGGAATCTTCAACACATAAGTAGTAGGTGAATTACGTGCTTTACCAAAATTCAAAGATGTAGAGGGAAGAGAGAAAAAGAGCACAACATGGAACCTGTAAGAAGACAGTGAGGGACAGAGAACTTGAGGACATTTCATCTGGAAGGAGTAATTAGATGAGTAGGATGAGAGCCAGGTAAAAACAGAGTTCCAGAAAAATTAGTTGTCTTACTCTCTCTGTCAAGGGACAGTTCAATTAATTCTGTTGTAAATATTGACAATGATGAAAGGAAACTGGACAAAAGCAGTGGTATTAAAAAAAAAAAAAAGGGCAAAACAAAAAAAAACGACAGCACACCAGTGATCATAAAACGAAGTAGTGACTTCAAAATTCCTTTTTTTTTTTCTTTTTACTTTAAATTAAGCTTTATACCATCCTATGTGCCATGCCATTGTCTAACACAGCAAAAGTGATAGAGCCTGTGGACATGCCCAAGTTCTACTGACTATTGGTGCTCTCTCCAAGGAAATGCATATACTGTAGGAGTAGGAGGGACACAATGTAGTATCCCCACCTTCAAGAGTTAAAAAACTGTAAGATGAAGATTGCTTGGGGTTTTTTGTAGCAGTTTTAAGTGCCTTACCTCTAAATTACCATGATTACTATTTTGTTGGGAGAATTGAGCTGGACTTCTGCTACTGGGAGCTAGGAGCTAGATGTTGAAGAAAATTACAACTTCTGTGGTTGTATCAATTATACTGTGTTCCTTAATAAGATTAATGAGAGTAATACTGTTGGCTTTAAGAAGTATTAACAAGTTTCTAAAATTCCTGCATTAAAATGGGGATATATTAAGCATTTTTCTTACTGTAGGAGCTGGGTGTAGAGCTGCTGAATGTTTTGCATCGACTGATACTGACCAGAGAATCACCTGATATTCAGCTTGCTGCCCTTGAAGTAGTTCGGCTGATTCTTTTTGCAGCTCAGGAACATGTGAAGGAAAAGCGGAGAAGTGCAGAAGGTACAGTAATGTATGAGATGTTGAATACATATTATCAGGGTTAAAGCAATTCTTTCTTGGAAAACTGAATTCTTGAAGGTGATACTCCAAGATGCATCTTAATTGAAGTGTTTCACAGTTGGTGACTAATCCTGGTTTACTAAAGTCAGTCCAGGTGCCTGACATAAGAAATTGGAGTGGTATGATAAATAGCAGATGGTTTTGCTAGTGACTAGAGGGCATGAAGTGAGGAGGAAAACTGGAGAAACTGCAGTTGAGATAGTCTTGTGTGGTCTCAGGGAGGGAGGAGTCTTAGTGAAAAGCTGGGATCAGCTGCAGTAGAGCAACTGAGAGACTCAGCACACACAGCTGTTACAAGCCAGACTCCACTAGTTACTCTGATTGTAACTTCCTAAAGTTCATTTTCTAAAAGAAAAAAAACTGGGAGAATAATCAAAACACTTATATCAGGTGACATCATATTGGCATGGTGCCTCAGCACATTGTATGTCTAAATCTGTTGCACACACTTTTGCCTTTTGACAATCAGCGCATAGTTTGCTTATTCAGAAGGCTGGATGTTTGCCAGTAGAACTTTGAATACATATGCATGCACATATGTATATGTATCAAGGTTATCACTTGGTGATGAAACAGTCTTAAGAAGTAAACTTTTTGAAAACAAGGTACAGCTTGCAGATTTCTGCCATATTTCTTCCTTTTGTTTTAGTTGATGATGGTGCTGCAGAAAAGGAAACGCTACCAGAATTTGGAGAAGGCAAAGACACGGGAGGACTGGTGCCTGGGAAATCATTAGTCTTTGCAACACTGGAGTTGTGTGTTTGTATTCTCGTCAGACAGCTTCCCCAGCTCAACCCTAAATTAACTTGTAGCCCTGTAGTTCAATCTGGAAAACATCTGATATTGTCAGAAGATGGAAGTAGACTGGTAGTGGCAGCATTAGTTATTCTCTCTGATGTTCCTGCAATCTGCTCTCCTGAAGGTATGCTGTTTCATTACAAGAATAGATTAAGGAAAGAATATTGGGCTCTTCTGAACCACCTTGTTATTACCTAATTTTCTCAGCTGGATAAATCTGGCAGCAAGTTTTGCTGATTTGCTTGTGAGAATTTCCTGTTCTAATTATTTTTTTGACTGTCAGATTACAAAACAAGTTACAAAACTGAAGCAATTAAAGGAGTAGTTTTTCTTTTCCTCCCACATGTAGCAGTGCAATTAATAGATTCATTTTGTACAGGGAAGTATACAACAGCTACATGATTATATTCTACTTGAATTGTCTATTCTGGAATTTATAATGCAGACATAAATTAAATTTAAAAGGGAAATGTATCATGTTACCTTTCACTAAAAGCCATCATTTGAACATTAGGAAACCACTTTAAGAAGTTACGGTTGATTTTTCAGATTAGTTGACTATTACCCATGATTCATTTTGGACTCACTCCAAACTTTAAGATAGTTCCCCCCTACCACCCCCCAATGTCATATTCATACATATGATCTTTCAGTACTGTTACAGCCACACCTATAAACTATCTTTGCCCTACTCCTCTGTTCCCACCTTCAGTATCTGTGTTACACCTTATGCAAATTTTTGCATTTACCAGCCCTGGAAATGTCGTCTTTTTTCTTAATTTGTTCTCTGTTACAAAATTCTTCTTCGGGGGATAGCATACTCCAAGTGGCATAGTAGGGAGTTCTTGCTATCATTGTAGGGTGATGGTATGATTTCTGTTTTCCATCTGCGGCTTGTTTTTTATCAGTTCAAAGCAAAAGGAAACATAGCATCACTTAAATCTGAGGGCAACTATCTTGTATGAAAAATAATCTGTGATTTTTCTTTTCTCCCTGTAGTTCCTTTTGTCGTTAGATGTTTAGTTATTCCACAAACTAACAGCTTGCAAGATCAGACCAGATGGGATGTTTATGCTAGAGAACTTAAGCATTTAAGTCAGGTGACTAAAATGAGGAGCTTAAGCTTGCTTATACAGTCAGTTGAATAAGGAAGCATCTCCAAAAGTCAACTCGTACAAGAGAATTCCTATGTGGAACTACATCATTTTTCCCCTTTAATAGGTAACTGAAGTTATAGTCCTGTGACTACCACATGCCTCTTACTTCAGGCAGCTGTCATGATATGTATGCATGATAAAATTTTTAAAGAAATTATGCTCATGAACTGCATTTCCTACTGAATTCCAACAGTCAATTTTCAGAGATTTGGTTGTTTAGAAACAGAAGGCAGATGTCCTCAGGTTCAGAAAATACTTAGCGTATGTCAGAGACCCTCAGTATTCAACAGGTCTCTCATGAACATCGGTATATTAAAATCTTAAAAACATAAGCATTTTACTGATTAGGGAAGGACATAAGCATGTTAAGCCATATGCTTAACTCTGTGCTTTGCTGAATTAGAACTTAAGATAGGAGCAACACATATGTATACAGGTTTCTAGATTGTCTCCAATATGTGCAGAATTCGGTATTACTGTTAGCTTCAAAGACATAAGAATATGCAAAACTGCTAGGCCAAGTTATTCCTGTGATTTTTTTTGTGGGTTTGTTTTGTTTTGTAATAGTCTCTTCTTCTGACACGTCAACTATTAGATTCTCAGGGAAAGATGAAGATCTGTTCAGTAGGCTGGGGGACAATCTGCTTCTCTCCTTAGGTCTCCTCTTTTCCAAAATATTTCTTAGAGTTTTTTATTATAATTCTAGGAATTTTTGTTATGCATTTTTAGTCTGAGATCCTCATCTTATTAATCTTACTAAATTCTTGACTTAGTGATTTCCTCGAGCAATGACATCCTTAGCTAACTAAACATCATGTGGGAGAAGTACTTCCTCTTACCAATTTTGAAAGTACCCCCTGTTAATTTCCTTCACTGTATTGTCTTCATTGCAAAATATGCTTAGATGCTTATAATTTGTTTTCTACTATTCAGTACTTTGTGTACTTCCATAGCTTCTCTTCTGCTCCTCAGTGGTTCTGATCTTTCTGTTTTTGCTTTTCTCTGAACATGACATAATTCCACATTCATATAATAAAATCATCAAGGAAAAGATATACAATACTAATTTAAAAGGGGAAAATGTTGAACTTCACTTAAGCAGTCTGACTCCATGTTTGCTATAGCAAGTGACATGATATTTCAAACCTTTCTTCAAATTGCCAGTGCCTCCATTCACATAGGTGATTAAAAATGATAAATTATAAACAGAAAAGAGAATCCATGAAAACTGCTACAATTTTTTTTAATGTAAAAGGTACCTGAATGTTTTTTAACTTCTGTGAAATTAATTTGCTTTGTTTTACAGGAAGTGTTTCAGTTCTTCCTACTATCTTGTACCTAATTATTGGCGTACTTAAAGAAACTGCTGTGAAATTGCGAGATGGCCAGTTACCTTTGACGGTTGCTGCATCTCTACAAGCTCTTAAAGGACTCTTGTCTTCTCCAATGGCTCGAGCAGAGAAGAGTCGGACTGCTTGGACTGATCTTCTCCGTAGTGCTTTGGTCACAGTGCTTGACTGTTGGGATCAAGGTAAGCACAAATCTTGAGTTTCTGTGTTTAAAAAACAAAACAAAAAATGTTTGAGGGAAAGACTGTTTCGCTTTATTTAAACTAAATTCATGCACATCTTAAAAAAAAAAAGTTTAATATCTTAGTCACAGGAGAAATAGTTGGCTACCAAGTGCTGTTGAAACTATAGTGCAATCTTGTCCCTACAGTTCATATGAGAAGTCATCATCTGTAAAGGTATAAATGTGGATTTGCAGGCTTACCACTGTATTATGTAGTGCCACAATATAGTTACACAGCACGATGGAATAAACAGGAGTTACGGCTTCAGGGTACAGTTGAGCATAAAAGACAGCTGTACTGCATGCAGGTTCTCCACAAAGAATTAGTGTCTGTATTGAAGCAAAGGATGTTAAAACAGTAGTTCAAGAAAATAAATTGTTGTCTTAAAGTTAGTTTTCTGTGTGCTGCTTCTTCAGCTTCCTGAGTTTGTAGTATTTTTATCATTCCTTATGTTTAATCTCCAAGTTGTAATTTGTTGTTAGAACTTTTGTTTATAGTGCTGTTCTTTTAAGTTACAGCAAAAGAACATATGTTCTTAATGCAATTTTTATATTATTCTCAAAATAGGTTGTACCCTAATATGTCATACCAGCTCTTCAAATATATTTGCTGTACTTTATTCAGAGGAACAATGGAATAGGATTATGCTGTTATTTCTAAATATGCATATATCCACCCTTAAATTCCCATTTTGGTCTTGGCTTTTATTACAGTGAAAGTCCGTATCAGTGCATGAGAGTATGTCATGTTTTTGGAAAATGAGATTCCTAAAGAAATGTAAACATTGATATTTCTATTCCATCTCTTTGTAACGCTTGAATTCAAAGAATTATTTTTTAATGCAAACCTAACACACTGCTTACTTTATTGATAGTAGATGGCCTTCTCCAAGAACTTGATGAAGTTAGCCTGCTTACTGCTATTACAGTATTTGTTATGTCTACCAGTCCAGAAGTTACTACCATAGAGTGCCTTCAAAAGCGTTGTATTGAGAAGTTTAAAATAACACTTGACTCAAAAGATCCTCTTGTAAGTACTAGTGAAGTTATAAGAATATCAGTATCATATTAAATGAATTTTAGCTTATTTTCTGTTCAGTTTTTTCACTTGTCCTGTGTGTTAATTCCAGTTAGTTCTGCCCTGACTACACCTGTTCTATTTTAAAATACAGTTTCAACAAGTTAGCAAGAACATGTCCAGCAGTGCATTTTATCACTTTGTATACAATTCTGTATTCCTATGATTATTTTTTTAGTTGCATCAGACTCAGAGCTTTATACATTGATAAGTACATGATACAGTTGTGTAGTTTTTCAGGCACCAGTTTCGTTTTATTTGTTCATTTTATCTTCAGTACACAGCTAGTATCTTTTGCACAGGAAATCCCTCAGCTGTGGGTCTGGGAGCTGGAGCAAGTGCCACTACATAACTTTTACTGTCCCATAAGCATCAGCTCCTGGCCACTGCTGGAGACAGCATATTGAACTAGGTTAATGCTTTGTTCCAACCTAGTATAAATATTTTTATGTAGTTGCTTTAGATGGTAGTGCCACAGTTCATCTGTTACTATTCTTCATCTAAAATCCCAACATATCAGGAAGAAAAAATTGTATTTATTATCAATGCAAATACAAATGACTTTTCTAGGAGTTGGGAATTCCTCACTCTGAAAGTCCAGCTCTGAAAATAACATGCATTAGATTTCATGTTTGACTGTGAGAATTCACTGTAAACTGGTTTTCTTGCATCTTCTCTGTATATATTCATGTAGTAACAAAAAAATTAAAGTTACCTTTACTTGAGAAACAGCTGTAAGAAAGTACTTTTTAATATATTAATAGATTTCTAGTATTGCACATACTGGTTTCCACTGATAGGAAACGGGATGCCAAACATGACTGCAAGAAAATGGTTGTATGCAGTTGCAAATTTTATCCAAGTGTTTAGACATCTGAGCCTTTCAGAAATTATATAGGAACTTGCCAGTTTCAGTCCTATTGATTTTCAATGACATGCAAGCTACTGCACCATTTGAGGCTTTTAAAAATTGTGCCTGCAGTTTGACAGAGGTAATGCTTACATTTTAAGCACCTATTTTCAGTCAGCTGTATTTTGGCAAAAAAGACTATATTTTCAAAACAGTACTAAGACATAATCTTCACACAAAAATAATGTTTTTCGCTTAACTCCAAAATGTAGGAATATGTAGGACGTGGTGGAAGGAAACAGAAAGCATGATCTAGTTTCTCTTAATAATTTGATTGCAAGTTATAATGCTCCTATAAAGTAATATGCATTAGCAGCCTGCAACCTGATGAGTTTTCAAGCTGTGAGGCACATTTTTCCCCCTCCCTAAAATTTTTTCTGACAAGCTGTGAGTTTTAAAACACTCTGACATGTATTTTTAAATATAACTCTTTGTAACTGCCAATTTGATTTTCTCTTTAGGTACAGTATAAGTGCTACCAACTGCTGCACTCCATCTTTCAGCATCCAAACAAAACTGTGTCATATCCTTATATTCATTCTTTAGCACCATCCATTGTGGGAAAACTGCAAGAAACAGAAAAAGCAAAGCCTGAAAATGCTGCTGAACTTCGAGTCATTCAGGAGGGAATAAAGGTGGTTACAGCTCTTACAGCCACTGCTGAGGAAGAGCACCGTAAGTTACTTCCATTACTAGTATCCAAAGCATTAGACATGCTGAAAGTTGCCATAAGTAACAAATTCAAACAAAACCACCACTAGGAATCCAGTCCTGAACGCTAATTGCTACCAAAATTACTAACAAGAATGTTGGTTCTTTTTACCATACAGTTAAAATAACAGTTGCAGCTTTATAGTTGTGTTCAATGTTAACTTAGAGAAATACTTCTAGTCAGAATTTGAAGCTGTTTTTAAAAAGTGTATGTTTAAGTTGTGTTTTGAATGTTTATAGGTGCTCATTTGGTGGCCGGCCTTCTTCCCATCCTTATTTCCTTTCTTTTGGATGAAAATGCCCTGGTTTCTGCTACAAACTCGGCAAAAAATCTACATGAGTTTGCTTTGCAAAATCTGATGCAGATTGGCCCACAGTACTCATCAGTTTTTAAAAAACTAATGGCTTCCTCTCCAACTATGAAAGCCAGGCTTGAGTCAGCTGTAAAAGGCAATCAAGAAAGCATCAAAGTGAAGACTGCTAAACATGCAAAGAATCCTGGGAAAAGTTCAAGCATTCAGCTAAAGACCAATTTTCTTTAAAATTTCATATTGTCATTTTACACACTTTGATATCAACAGCAAAATAACATCCCTTTTAATTTCTAATCGGAGTAGGATCACTATGAGTTGACCTCATATTTCAGTTTGCACTGAAGTATTACAGAAAGTTTTTAAGAGAAAGCAAGTCTCTAGATAACTTTCTGTTATGGTCAGACTTCTTAAACGTCTCTGAACACTATGCATAAGTCTATCAGATGTCATCTAATCTGTATTTTTGGATTATTTTGGACTAAAATACCAGAAATGCACATGCCTATATTAAAAAAGTATAGTGAACTTTACCGTAGATATATTTAGGAGCAGCCCACGCTTAGCCAATAAGTAAAGTTAATTTTGTTTTAAATCAGTGTTTGTCAAAAATAAGTTACCCTGATTGGTTTTTGGATTTAACTGGGACATAAATTTACTTGCAGGTTGTAATCTATCCTAATTACTAATTTAACATACTGCATCACTAAGTAAACAGATTAAATATCCTTGTAAGCCTTACAATAGATTATTGTTGATCTCAAAAAATTCAACTCAATAAAGGTAATATTGATAGCTTTAATCCTAATAACTTCTTGAGCTGGCCGAGATTTAACAAAGGCTGTTAAATACAACTCTACAATGCTTCTTCACTGAGGACTCCGTAGTGCTTTACACAGTGGGACTGTTATGCACGTGGAAGTGTTTGCAGGCCTGGTGCCTTGCTGTTGACATAGTCTCACTTTTCAGGATGTGTACTTGTGTTAATTTTGTATTAGGCTAGCCAGGCAATTGAAGCTTACATATCTTGTCCAGGATAGGACAGCTATTTTAATATACTGTGCCTCGATTCAGACATCTGCTCTATCTGGATGTATGTTTTCTGATCTTTAAATGATCAGTTATGTATACATGTAACTCACCTGAATTTATGTATCTCTGCAATGAGAGATATGGACGTATTTGAAGTCAGCTTGTCTTGTGTCAAATAAAGTGCAACAAACTTATAATGAGGAGTATTTAATTAACATTTTTATCAAGGAACCTATTTTAATATAGAAAAATAACTATCAAAATTGCAATGGCTATAAAGTATTTTCTACATATAGTGTATTGACTTCTTTCTTAATACCAGTATTATCTAAACCAAATACTATCAAACTGAGAAGAATTCCTTCTTGAATCTAATTAATTTAAAAGAAAGAAGAAAAAAAGAGAAGATTTACAGAACTGAGAAACACACTGTGACTCAGGAAAAGTGTGATGTACTGTATTTTATTATAAGTTTTGTATATAAATATAATTGTAAATTGTACAGAATTAACCATTTGACCAAAGTTCTAACAATTCATTTTTCTAATTTACATAAATAAAGCTAATTTTCTTCACTTAAGATTTGTCTTAGTCATTTTACCCAATAGCAGAGGAGCTCTAAGGACTTCCATAACAGAAAGAAAATGTTTGTATGCTGCCACAGGAAACTAATAAATGTTTGGGCTCAATGCACCAAGGTCTGTGACTTGACATTGCAGGTCTTCCTCTGTTCTGTGTAGCACAATGGGTAAATAAGTAGGATCAGGGAGATGGACTTTATATGTCTAAATACCTGTTCCATGCCAAATGCTGAAATGTGTGAACTATGGGAAGATGGTTGAGATGGCTTCCATCTTTCCATGGAGAACCAGAAGTTCTTTGTTCTACCTCTTCATTGCAGTCAAATCTGTAGTTGTTGGCTGCATTGAAAGGGATTTACATTAAATTTGGCAGTTACTCATCTTTATCTCATTGGTGATTTTTTTAATCTCATTATTTTTCCCTTCAAAGTTAGTTTACTGGGTACTTCCCCCCACCACCACTAGCCCCCAGCCACTTCTGGAAAATCATGGAGATTCTTATGGAACTTGAAACTTTGAAATGAAACTGATGTCATACTTACTATCAAAGTGGCCAAAAATATTGCTGAGAAAGTTACGTTGCTACAATAGGTATACGTGGCTATTTTTTTCATTTTCTGTAATGTGTAAGAACAGCATTAACTTTTAATTCACTAACTTTTTTGAATGTTGATAATCCAATCTGATCAAATCCTACTTTGTTCAAAAACCTTTAAGAAGCATGCTGAAGTTGCAAAAGCACCAAGCTGTTAAAAGCCAAAAATTAAAGCTTAGAAGAGCTTAGTCCTAGATTTCTTAGAGGGTCTTACTGTAGCAGCTCACAACTGAGTCACTGAGAAGTGCTGTAATTACGTGATTTGATGTTTCTTGGTCAAGTTTTATAGCCACGTGTGGAAAAGCACCATTTTTAACATATCTCTGTATTCTAAATGCAGAAGCAAAAATGATTCAATAAAGAGAACCATTGCTAATTCTTAATGTCTACTGTAAATTAGGACGTATGTGTGAGCTTAATTTATCGAGATAATTAATTTACCCACATCGTAAAAATACCTGTGCCCTGAGTTGTGCTTTATTATGTACACTTAAAAACGAGTTGGATCATGTGAATAAATCTACTCAAAGATTTGATAAATGAATCTTACAGATAGAATCTTGTTTCAGTTAAATAGAATTTGGCTTTTAGGTATCAGGTATCTTTGATGCAGTCTTGTTTATTTACAAGGCACTTGCATAGATTTCTTTCTTCCTGAAGAAATAAGTAAGAACACAGAGCAGTTTTGGTTTTAATTCCACTCTTCTTTTTAGGCATCGCTTGGCATTCAAGCTCTTCTGTTTAGCCAAACAAAAAGAGCCAAACACATGTTTAGCCATAAACCAAAGTCTCACTTTTGCCACTCCTGCGTCCTGTGTCCTGTGCCTCCTTGCTGATTGTTTTTCTTGCCATTTCTCTACAAGCAGCAGTAAATTTCCTCAAGTAAATCATCTTTGCAATGAAGGCTGTGGCCTGCATGCATGTTTGCTTTGTATGTTTCCACTGTTTATTTAAAAAGTTTAATATTTTTGTGTGACAAAAGGTCCTGCCTATGTCTAACCTTAAGTGTGTACATAAATATGGATACATCACGGAATGTAATATTTGAGTGCTATGCAAAAATTATTTGCAGACAACTTTCTGTTGACTGCAAAAAAACAGAATTAGTCAAAAGCGTGCAAAAGCATCACACAGTTGGAATGTGGTTGTTTTTAATTGGATACAAGTCTGTAGCACAGCAGCTGAATAAGCAGCATTTCTAACAGTATCAGTTAGGCTAGAATAAGTCTGAGACGGATCTGGTCTGTTGCAAGGTGGAGGAGTCACCTTCAGACTGAGAGAAGCATCAGTCAAGTGATGCACATATCACCATAAAATAGGATTACCAAATGCACAGGAAGCATAGCAGGGTTTTTTATTAATAAAAGTCGGTTAATAATTGGAATTTCCAAAAGGATTTCCCCCCCACCCCAGCCCCAAGACTGCCACAGCGGTAACAATGTGAGTTGTTGCAATTGCAGGAGAGGTGGAGTGATCTAGGATAGTTTGCTAGTTTATCAGAAGTAATAGTAATACTGCTTAGTAGGGATCGAGCAGCAGATTCAGTGGAATTTCAACATAGTTTTAATTTTAATGAAGTTGGACTTATCTGTGTATGAGGGGTCACTGTGACAGTCCCCTCTAAAGCTTCATCCCTAATCTCACTGCTAGGTATACATTTTTTGTTTTCAGCTTCCTGAAATGTCGCGCTCTTCTATCAGAAGATAGCAAGTTAGAAGCTGTTTCCTAGCAGAGCGTATTGTTTCCTAATCGATAGCGGTCTACTAATAAACTGCTCCTGTTTTCTTCCAGTGAAAAACTTGGCCAATGATACTTCAATCAAAGCAAGAAAGCAAGGGGAAAAGTCCTTAGAAAATTAACACTCTTTGTTCAGTTTTTAAATAAAAGAATGTACAGTAAGGTAGCTTATTCTTCTGCACTGTGGTGTCAAAAACCACAGGAAGACTCACTCCCTTGTGTCTTGAAAGTAGTGCTACTTGGCCAGCCCTGATCCTGTGGGCAATCCTAGATACTGCTTTTGGCACATGAGAAACCTATGTGGCCTGATTACACACTGGTGAGCAAAGGTGCTCTTAAAATACAGACATAACGAAGTAGTTGTTGAATTGCAACCTCTGACCCTTAAAAATAGCCAATAAAGTTAAACTGTACTTTCATGCAGCCAAGCGTTAAAATAAGCACTCATATTTGTCCGTAACGCTCTCGTCTGAGCAACATTGGAGCTGTTGCTGTAGATGACATTTCTGACAGGACTCCAATTCAATTAGCTGAAGTATGTAGCAAGCAGTTCTTTTTCACATATACTGCTCAAGCTATTTAATGACAGTGGGCTATATCTTCAAAGATATAAAAATTAAAAAGCATATTTGACCAGACATGACATGCTTTACCTGCCTTTAACCTATATAAATAATGAATGCTGAAAGTTGATTATGTAGGATAAAATAAACCAGATGCATTTGATATACATTAAGTTGTCTGCATAAAGAAACACTAAAGATATCAGTGCTACGCCACCAACCTCTCCAAAATGTTGTGTGGTTCTTATTTTAGTTTTGATGTACAGTTGTAGATTGTTTTTTTTTCCCTTAAAATTTTCTCTGGAGAATAAATGGTTTATTATGTATAACAATGAAAGGGGAAGTGACATCTAAATACAGTAAAAGCAGGGCTCAAGATTCTGTCTGAGAAACAGGTCAAAGCAAAAGCAGGCTTCCAACACCTCCTGAAGTAATCTGTGGTAGATTAACCCAAATTCGCTCACTCTGCAGCCGAATATCAATTTTGCTCTATGGTCCTGTCCCCACCTCCATGGTCCGAGTCACCTGAAGTGCAGAATCAGATTCTAGAAGGTAGAACGTGGCATCAAATCCCCTTCCTCTGTGCTTGCACTCCAGCTGCTTAATGCCAGCACTCGCAGGAGAAAACAAATTGGGAGGATGGGTACCAGCCCCAGCAGAGCCTGCTTTCAGTGTCCACGTCACTCTATGTGCCAATTTGTCTAGTTATTGCACAGGAAAATGTATTGTTTATGTATGTAAAGAAGTTTGCAGATGAGGAAAGTCTGTTTAAAAGTTGCTGGTAAGAAGCTAAATTTAGTAATGGCAAAGATCAATAAAATCCTATTCTGAGCTACAGCCTTATGAATTGCAAGTCTAGCCTAAAATTGGATTTTTAAAAAATCAATATTCATATATTTAAATTTATGTGAATTATCTCACTGCCAATGAAATGCAATATAGAACTGCTGAGATTCCCTGTTGCTACTAGTGGGAATTTTATTTTTATTATAACCTTCTCTG